TCTCCTGGTACCTGGCCCAAAGTCACCCAGCCGGCTTTCCTGTCTAAGGTGGGACTAGAACTTCCAGTCTCCTGCTTTCTAGCCTGGTGCCTTAACCACCAGAACCAAACCGGCTCTCTCTGGAAGACGAGAGGATAGCTACGTGCAATGTGGCCCTCAGAGATCCATCTGGCAGCCAAGCCTCCCTCCCAACCTCTTTCATCTCTTAAGGAACTTTTCATTTTCAGAACGAAAAATCAGGACACTTTTCCCCCCACATTTCCATTTCAGTTCAGGAATGAACCCATTTGCCTCTGAAATAAGCTTGAGAATTTGCTGGGAGAAGAAGAACACCCTGGTTGCTTCCCTCTGCTGCTCTTGGGAGTGGCCAGAGGAGAAATTCTGGGTTTCCAAGCTGGCCTTCCCATGCCCAACCACCAACCGGGCCCCAAAGCTGTGGGAAATCCATGCAGCTGAGATCAGGAAGCCCCCCACCCCACTTACATGAGTCTCTGCAGCCGAGAAGAGGGGTGATCCAGCCCTTGGCACAGCTGCTTCGCTCCCCCGTCGCCCAGAGGGTTCGCCCCCAGGTGGAGCTCCAGAAGGGAAGAGCCGGATTCCAGGACTTGGGAAAGGGGCCGACAGACGGCAGCCGTGAGGTTGCAGGAGGGCAGCCTGTAGGGGATGGAGAATTGGGAGGGGGGAAAGGAAGGATTTGCATCAGGATTAGAGAATCATATATAATTCATCATTCCATATGGCTGGAAGAGACGCTGGGGGTCTTCTATTCCATCCCCTCCCCAAGCCCTTATACCATCCCAGACAAACTTTTCCTGAAAGCCTAAATATGAGTGATTGATTAGATAGATAGATAGAGAGAGAGAGAGACAGAGAGAGAGAGAGAGAGACAGAGAGAGAGACAGAGATAGAGTGATAGATAAATAGATGAGAGAGAGATCTGTCCATTTCTGCACAATCTAAAAAATTGTTTAGTGACATCCTCCAGTACTGTGCAAATACAATTCTTGCTGCTGTCCAAACATGTAATTATTAAATATATATTCCCCGTCTTGTACTTTTCTGGCACTGTGCCTAAGAGAAATATTTCTGGCTTATAGTCTATGTGCTGCTTTAACATTTTTTCTAACCATGTATGTATTTTTGTCCAATATTTCTTTGCCAGCACCCCTTTTACAAACCCCCAATTCCCGCTCCCAGGTGTGAACATAACTATTTTGGGGGTAAACGGTATTTGTGTTCTGACCGAGGTTTCCCCAACAGCACAAAGCTGAGGCCTCATCCTGATAAACCCCTTTTATTTAATTTACAATGAATTTCCTCTCCAGCAAAGCTCCAGCCAACAGTCTTTCAAGATATTTCCCAATTACAGACCTTTATCAGGCTTGGAGAGCTGCCAGGCCAATATCTTTCAGACGCTGCAATTCTTGGCAAGAATGCCGGAAGGAATTAATTGCCTCCTGCAAAGCCCCACTTCCCTTTTGCTCCTCTTTTATTCTCTAGGGGAGGGGCCATTCAGTCTACCTGTGCCTTTACTCCCAAGCCGACCCTTGTTCCTCAGCTGTTCCCTTCTTCTGGCAGCTCTGTGCATGTGCACACTGGGAACAGGCTCCAGCTATTCTTCTTCCCCACTGACGTCTGACTCCAAAGGCAGCTGACAACTGTGCGACGGCCCTGGCCCCATCTCTGCCTCCGAAGCAGAGCCTTCGTCCGAGCCTTCCCCAGACTCCAGGACTGGCCAATGTTCCTCCCCAACCTCTTCACTATCCCAGTCTGTCGCCAGCTCTTCTGGCCACTGGTGGGCCACAACAATTTGAGAATATTTAAATTTAAAGGATTGGTGGGATAACGAAGTCGTGTGGGACAAAGGAATAAGATTCTTTCCATTTTCTGCCCTCCGGGTGGAGATGACACTGCTCACCTGAGGCTTTGAAGTGGGCAGGTGGGCTGAAGCAGCCATTCACACAAATAGGAAACCCCAGAATCCTCCAAGGGATTTTCACCCAAGTCCAGACTGGTCAGCCTTGTGTTGGCCATTGTGATGGGTGCCAAGTCTTTGCATGCAGTGGGAGAGAGACCACAGCGGTTCAGCCTATGGAAATTGGGGAGACACACAAACACAGATATGGAGGAAATTGGTAGGCATAAAAACAGCCTCCAGGTAGAACAAGTGTCAGGATTCTGGTGATTGCCCTAATTAAATCATAAGCCTCAAGCCAAGCTTCAAAAAACTTCAAAAGATTTATTAGGAGCGGCATGCCGGCATGACCTGTATGAAGCCGACTCTGGGACACGTAATGTACAATCACCTATGACCCTGTTTCCCCACCACACCCCTGGGTGTGCATTAATTCAGCTTCTCCAATGAAACACATTCATGGGCTGGGTGTCATCAATCACATTCTCCAATAAAAGGATTTTCGTGGGCAGAATACCCGGCTGCCTAAGTTACAATCTTTGTGAGGCAAGCTTGGAATGTGCTTCTGATTTTATTTGCCGTATGCTCCTTCAGGTCTTTCCCCTCCCCTCTTTCCCATGGCAACTTGGAAACAGGCATAGGGATGTTTTCCAAGTTGACAACAAGAAGCAATGGATGGACACTAATCAAGAAGAGAACCAAGAGGAATTTTCTGGTAGTGAGAACAATTAATTGATGGAACTGCTTGCCACCAGAAGTTCTGGGTGCTCCATCCCTGGAGGGTTTTAAGAAGAAATGGAACAACCATTTGTCTGAAATGGTAGAGAGGGCGTTGGACTAGAACAGTGATCAACAACCCGTGGGCCGAGGACCACTGGTGGTCTGCGAGAAAATGTTGGTGGTCCTCAGAGAAATGTCCCCCCCAAAGCAATTAATCCAGGCTGCGTGGGAACACAAGGCTGTGCCGCCCACATGTCCTGCGGGAACACAAGGCTTGTGT